AGATTTAATTATAGTATTTATTTATACAGTACTAAATATCAATAAATGAATAAATAATAAAGACAGTACTATTTAACTCATTCAATTAAAGCGCACATGATTTTAAAGCATAATAAATTACAGAAATTATAAACAGATTTTATCATTTAATCTGTTTAAAAAATATTTTAATCGTTACATTATTTACTTCGGTGTCCAAAAGTATTTCCCTTTCTATTCTCTTGGGATTCTTCTAATATTATAGTCATATTTGCCGTTTCTTTGGAAACTTGTTTGTGTTTTCTTGTTTGAATTATAGGAAAGTTCATCAAACAACTATGTTGTCAGGTTATGTAAATATATCGCGGGTTCCAACGTGTAGTTGTTCTACACTAGAACATGAGTTCTCAACATGGCGGTGAAGTTTCCTTGAATTAGCATAGGAAAAATTTAGTGGGGGGACGATAAACTAGAAAAATACTCAAATGAACATTTTTAAAAAACATGAGAATAGAATAATTGAACAGGAATTTAATATGCAAAAATATTAATATAAAACAAATTAAAAAAAATTAAGTTAAATTTATAAATAGGAATCGCGAGTTAGTTAATACCGGAAAGCAAAAATAAACATACCAGGGACTTTTTCCTGGTTTCTAAGGTGAATACAATTTGGGTGGGAAAATGGACGTAATTAAGAATTCTTTTTTTCCACTTAAGATAGTCAAAATTTCTATCTAGTAAAACAGATTTATAGATCAAATATAAAAATTATTCATATTAAAAACGATCTGTATTTCGAAAGATATATATTGTCTTACCGTGTTCCCATACTAAATACAACTTTTTTTTATTCATGATATTTACAACTACACTAAAAAATAAAAATACATCTGTTAAATTTGAACAAATAATTATGATGGCGTGAAAACACTTGTTGAGAAACTACCCACTGATACACTCTAATATGTCTACATGCGGAAATCACGGGGCTATCTTCTTTTTAGACGTCTTGGAGGATTATAATGATATCGAAGAGGAAGTAAGGTTAGGAACAATAGAGTTCGGATGGTTCTGAAGTTTATTATGGAAGGATAGGTGACTGGATTCGGCAAAATTTGAAAGAAAAGGAACATCATGGTTGAATTATTTTATTTGTAACAAAATAAGGAGCGTTGAGTATTTTACAAAGGATTATGGATTGCAAGGATAGGATACGAGAGAAATTTAATAGTTTAGTGGAGTCCCATAGCTCAATTCTATAAGTCCAAACAGACCTTATTAAGGTCACGTATATGAATATCTTGTAATCAATTGGAAACATAGATCGTTTGTCCTGTAAGTGCTGAAGTAGTCGGAACGCCGAGCGATTTATTGTTATTTCAGTCTGGTATCAGGATTACAAATTATACGTTTGTCCAGGTGGAGTCCTTAGATATCGGATTTGTTAAATACAGCCTAAGCTTAAAACTAAAAGAATTTGTATGAAATCGTTTCTTATGGATTATTATAATTGAAACGATTTAATAATATTTATATCTTATTATTCAAAAAGTGCTATTGTACATTTCAGTAATTTAACAGCGAAAAATATTCTTAAGAAATTCTTAATTAAAAAACTTACACTAGAGAGGTTTTAATCTCCAGTTTCTCCTTTTTCCAGAATTAAGCTTGTCCTGGAATGTAATTACGAATTTAAAACATCAAGTAAGAAACTTAAAACTGAGATCTGTTCTGGAATTAGCTAAAGGCTTCCATGGTATTTCTCTTTAGTGGAATGCCTTTGTCATTTGTGTCTTCAATAAGATGTTCAACTTTAAATTAATGCCCCAAAACTATATATATATAGCTTCTGTATTTATGAACTAGATTTAAATTTCTTTGAAACTGCCCACGACAAGATTAAGCTTTTCATATGTTATTCTATTAAAACTAAAATATAAAATTGATTTACATTAAAATTACTATTATTATAATTTTTATTTTGGGTTTATGGTTCACTGTAGTGAATAATTAAATAGAAGGACGGTTGGGTGATCTGTCAAATTAAAATGGCAAAAATAAATATTTTTATTTTTTTTACATTCGCCGACATTTCGGCCCGAAGTTAAAGTAAACAATTTTCATTTATTTATTATTAATTCATAGTATGATTAATTTAAGGTAAATTTTTTCCAACCCTGATGAAGGCCCTAACTTCGGACCGAAACTTCGGCGAATGTAAAAATAAATAAAATTATTTATTTGAGATACTTATTTGACTGATCACCCCAACTATCCTCCTCGTCTATTACGTATTTCAATCATTTATCAACTTTAAATAGTTTTCTATTAATATTCGAGGTCGAATATATATTTAAAACTATTTATTTTACACATTCAAGTACTTAATTCGTACACTTTATATATATATTTTAACAGAAAGAACCTATATGAAGTTTATTTTTTTCAATTCACTAAATGTATTTTATTTATTAATACAGTTGTAAATATCATAAATTTTTTTTTTAAACTTAAATTATTTTTACTTTTCAGATAATATGATTCCCCTCTCCCTCAACATCCGATAGTATCGCCTCAGTACCCTTAGCGTTATTTATGCACAGGAGCAGATTTGTGTTGTCAATTTGTTTATTTTTAAAAATAAATTTGTCTAAATATAGAGTACAATTCAGGATACAACTGCATACTCGTTCAAGAGAACATCGTATCTTCGAATCTAGGTAAAGGAAGTACGTACGGAACCCTTACTGACTCCATCCGCCTATTAAGACTGAAAATGCTCAAGAAAAAAATGTTTCAAAAAGACGTAACTGAGCCTTTGGGAGTAGGTGCTGTGCGGCAGGCAGCAGTGTAGATAATGCGCCCTAAAACTCAGGCACCAGCTCCATAGATTAGATGCCTCCTTCTCTAATGACCCAACATCTTTGCTCTAGACCTATATAGAGTTTCTTATACAGCCGCTATATACTCTAATCTAGGCTACAGGATACTATACATGTCAGCTTAATTACCAAATTTAATTTTCATCGAATTTTCTTAGACTGCTGCTGTTATAAAAAAAAAATCTAGTTTTAAATTCAATATAAACATTTATGTACCCCCGTCCGCAACAAAATGGCGCACCACAAGATAGCGTTTCCCTATATTCTCTTTGCACCTCTGATATCCTTGAGCACCCTTCAAATATCTCTGTTTTTTTGATGTTACAAAAATGGTATCTTCTCATTAAAATTTTATACGCCCTTCAGAGCCATTCTTTGTATATCCATAAATGGAAAATTAAAATTAACCTTACTAAATAGTTTCTCTCTAAGGAAAGCTTTAACCATTGACAACAACCCAGTGTCTACAAAGAACTATGTACGCCATTTCAGACTCTACTTAGACAAAAGACTTACTTGTACCCAGAGATGCCCATTCACCTCCCCAAGATCGATGGCGGATGAACCACGTCTCCCTCTCTTCCCAAGATATTTCATTGCTCAACTTTTCTTAAAAACAGAGCAAGCTAAGGTAGAAAAATCGTATATCATATACTATTACATTTACTGCGGTATATTCCATGTTTTTCCTCTTGCCCCTTAGTCTGAAAATTCATAACCCTAAAAAAATTGTGTAGCGACTTTGTAGGACACCCCTGCTTGTACATACATACGAAATTAATAGGTTAAGTACTGACGAAACTATATAACCAACTCTCACACTTTCTAAACTACTGATCATACTTAATAAAACATCGAGTTATCTACTACAATATACTGAGATCGATTTGGACATACGGAGCAGGATTTTGGGAAGTACATATGAACAAAATAAAAATAATATATTTTGAAATCGTTTGAAAAATTGTTAACGCGACGTTGTATATTTCAAATAACTCTATGCATAAGGACTCTGTACGTAGCGTTTCTATACTTCAACAGTAAAATCCTTCATTCACGACAAACACACTACATTTCACTCTCTTTCTCAAAATCAACTTAATGTACTCTTTTTATCAATTTCCTTCCTGTCACTTACTCGAAACACATTAAAAAGAAAATGACCCTGAAATCTGCTCCTTCATCTTCAAATAAATTAAGGTTATTAAAAAGCAAATTCGCAGAAAATCATAAGTTACATCAAATTTGCTAGACGCGGTATTGTGCAATTGTAAATAGAGTAAAATAATAAAACAAAATATAAAAATTAATTTGTACAAAAAATTACTGTTTAATAATTACTATTGATCATGGGTTCCTTGTCATAAGCGAATAGTTGGTAGTAGGCTTTCAGATATCGCAGCCAAACAAGCATTCACGCTCCCAGGCCGAGGTGCTGCCATCTTAACCCCTCCAGAAATGTCTCTCTTAAAAAGGAAATATTGGATAGCTGGCAGTCCATGTGGAACGATATCCAAACATACAAAATAAAAATTCATCAGTAAATCGGTAAGAACCTGGACCACATCAAACATTCCTAATCGCAGATAGGAGTTGCCGTGAATAGATTAAAAATATGTCGTACAAATTTAACTTATTTATCAATAAACAGCCACCACCAAGATTTAGCACTTATTACACCTCATGCTTAAATATATTATCTCTGAGAATGGATATCATATTAGAAAATAATGAATCAAACATAAAAACCATAGGTTATTGAAATGTATATCATTTTTTATTTCTTATTTAATTTTTTTCTCTTCTAAGGTTTTTCTGAACTTCAGAGAACAAAAATAAATGACGAACAGGCTTTGATGACCCTAGCATTTTACGCCTTAAATCTCAAATAAACAAACAAACAATTATTATTGTGCAAAATACTTCCCCTCTTTTTATATACTCATCCCTGCATACAAAGCAACGTATCATATTTAATATCATACTCTAGCAACAAATTATAAAACATGCCTTGTGTTTTAATTTCAATATGAATTTAATCGCTCTTGCAATGCATTTTCCGAAACGAAAATTACCAGCTTACCAAAACAGAGGTGGTACGGGAGGAGATTGTTTAGCGGAGTTTATATTTGGGATTTAAATAGTTATCCGCCGAGAGAGCACGGAGCTGACCGTGTAGTTGACAGTTTGGAGTGCGGTGAGGCCAGGTAGGGGGAACCGCACCACCAAGTTAGCTCCGCCGTTCGAAGCTCTACTCTCGGCTTCGTCCCCATATGTCGTGCCGCCCCTCCCCTCCCCCCACACCTCCCTCTGTGCAACCAGTATTATCAAAGGTGTTCTCACTGCTTTCCATACTGGTACAAAATCGATTTCAATTGAAGGATAAAGAGGAGCGATTCTTAAGGGAGACTGAAATTAACACACCAGTTCTTCTTTCTTAAGTCAACAAAGACCAGTAAAAAAGTGCTGCTCGGTACTGTGCTCCCTCAGGCCTATAAATTCAACAACTACAACATATCTGGCTTTATTTTATATGGTGGCTTTATCCGTCCTACCGCCGTCAATATTTTCTGGCTACCTTCCTAAACCGAGCCATTACAACATGGCGACCTGCCAATATTCTACAGATCCTACAATTCAAACGCTCCTTTCAATCCCGTCCCACCAGATACCGTGCGTCCGACCTCTATCCTCCTCCTCACCGAACTGCTATATTTGATAAATCCTTTTTAATACAAGTCGTCTCCCTCTGGAACTCTATACCTTCAGATATTCGACACGCAAAATCGATATCCTCATTCAAATCTCTCCTCTTCGAACACCTACTCCATTCCCAATCCGATTGATCACGAAATCAACTTAAAAACCTAAGCTGTAAAAACCTCAAAGTACACCCAGATACTCTGATTATTTTGTAGTTCATCGATATTTCGTTCACTTAATTACTTCCTCTGTATATTTTATATTTTCACGTATTTATATCATTTTATCATTTATAACTTTATTGTACTCCGAATCAACCTGTAAATATTAAATTGTATTTCATGGACACACCAAAATATTGATATATATGATTTGTATTTGTGGCTTGTTCTAAAAGGACACTAGTCCCGGAATAATAAAATTATTTTCATTCATTCATTCATCCATATCTGCTGATTGCTACATTTTGAGAATGAAGATTTAAACTGTTTTTTTTTCTTTTTTTTAATAAACGAATAGTAACACTGAGGAGTGCAGTTACCGCCTTCCATGGTAATGGCTGTTTCGGATCATGGGCGAGCACAACTTTGCTAACGAGCGCACGTGATGTCATGCAGAACAATACAAAATGTTGTCCGCGGGTCTTTATTTAGGGAACCGTGGACTACTACAAATGGCTAGGTGAAAACTGTACAATTGGCATAAATAACGCGGAAAAAATATTTGTTACCTCACTATTATTATTTAAAAAATATTTTTTAGTTACTCTGAAACACAAAGTATACGTATTTTGTATACGTTTATTTCTTTTAACAGCCGATTTAGTCGTAATCTTAAATAATAATCTATATAATCGTACATGTGAACTAAATGAAACGTTCAATTGGATCCCCATCTGAGGGAACGTGGCAAATTTTTCTGACATTAATTAACAGAGTAACGGTAAATTAATTTCTCACTTTTAAACGAACCTTTCTTGAGAACTTAAAGGAGCTATCCGGAGCTATTAGCAGGGTCATTATTCTTTGTTGATGTATAGATCGCTCCGACAAAAGCTTTATTCCTTCCAAGCTCTGTTAGCCTTCTCCGAGGGCTCCTTAAGATTTATTACCCATTTCACTCAACTCAATGTGATATAAGAAATTTTATTGCGCAAAGACAATTTGTTAGGCTAGGAAATAAATTTCAGTCGTGTTTTAAACATATTACTGACAATTTACCTTTAATTATATATCAGTCAATGTATTGTGGTAGATGACTTCATATTCTCTTATAGGAAACCTTAAAAGCCAACGGCAGCTAAGATGAATAATTTTATTTAAGTTCAACCGTTCAACTCAATTTACTCGTTTTACTATATTATTAGTAATATTTCTAGTACTTTTTGAATTTTAAGAAATATTTCTAGCAAAAGTAACAAAACATCTCACTTAGGGAATCAAGATTCTCTCGATCTTTGGGGACTGGCATTTTTTTTAGTATTGTTATAGCATTTTTATAGCTACATCGCCAACTTATATTCATTTTATTGTATATTATTAGATGCTGAGACGAACATGGTAATTGAGAAAAAATATTACATTTATACCTTATACTAAAAGGTACAATATACTTAAGGAAATGTAAATTCTTTAATGAACGAAGCTAGTCGACTATTCTGCATATCATGGGTGATAAATAGTCAGGACGCAGTCATTATAATTTTTTTTTTTTATTTATTTGTGCCAACGTTTCAACCCAAACATGTGGGTTGTAGCACTGTAGGCTTTCAAGTACTGGAAGCCTTAGAGTACTAGTTTAGAGCAAGTTTTAGAGTACTTGAAAGCCTTCAGTGCTCGAACCATGCCTTGAAGATGACCCACATGTTTGGGTTGAAACGGAGGCACAAATAAATAAATAAAATGTTTATAACGACTGCCTCCTGACTATTCATCACCCGTAAATTCTTTAAATATTTCTACGCATCGGTTCATTAGTCCATTGAATCCTGTAAATTTAGGCACAGTCTAGGTGAAAAGTTTTGAAGATGTTTTAAACATTTGCTCTTTCAGCTTTGCTTCTTCGTTTATTTTTTCAGAAGAATAATTTTAAAAAAGATTTCTTTTTTTACTCATAACTTGAAAATCACGCATTATTTATTTCTATTCATCAATCTAGCTCCATAAAGTTTTGTATTTCTGCAGTCCCATTATGTTAAATTTTCTTCCCATTGTTCCCCAAAATTCTTCCATGTCAGTCTATAAACAATGATGTCAATAATGAGAAAAGCAAGATTTTCTCCAAAACCCAGATTCTGGATACGTTCACTTCCTTTGTAGGCGATTTATTCGTCATCTTAAAAAACTTTCTTGTCTTCATATTTTCATCCTCTCCTGTCATGAACTTGAAAATAAGCAGATGTGCTGTAACTAATAAGAAAAATTGACATTTTAGGCATGAGGAAAAAAATAGTAACCAGCAGTACTTCTTCCTGGTCTTGATTTATTTTCTTAATTCAAGAAAGGAGATCTCTCGTCCAACTCCTCTTGTCAGCTGTGGCCATGTCGTTAATAAGTCCTTTGTCATGTCCGTGTAGTTTAAGATGAAATCTAGAATAGAGATCGCGTATGTGTTGGTCGATAGTTGGTTGTCGTAAGTCGTTATGTAAGTATGTATGTAAGTTTTGTTGTTTACGTACCAAGGAGCTCCTTTTGTAAGTCGTAAAATTTTGGATTGAAATGTCTGTAGTTTTTGTAAGTGTGTCTTTTTTGCAGAACCGTAAATTTGTGATTATATGGGTTTGAGTAGGTTAGTGTATGTATTGAGTTTTTGTCTGATTTTCAATTTCGATTTGGAAAAAAGTGAGTACAGTATTTTCAGTCGCTTGTTTAAGGTCTGTCGTTTCATTTTGACGTGTGGACCCCAGGTCATCCTTCTGTCGAATATTAGTACCAGTTAACGTACTTTGTTTGTCTGAGGAATTTGGTTCTATCCTATATAAACTTAAAAAATAATTTTTAAAAATCAGTATAATATTATATGTAAACTTAATGAAACATTTTATATGATACCCATTTCAGAAAACTTGATTTTTTTTTTTACATTAATTAACAAAGCAACGGTACATTAATTGTTAATTAATTCTACTTTCTATGATTAATTACAATAGCAGTCATTAAAATTAATATGTTGGATTTATCGATTAGGGAAAAAATGCTTTGCTAATATTATTTTTTACCAACACGGAAGTCATCCTCAAAAAATGATGTTTTCATTTTATTTCGAATCTCGGATGGTCGCCGACGACCCTCCAATCCATTAAAAAAAAATGCTTGAATAAAACGAAACTGTCATAGCACCTGGACCGTTCTGGGTGGCCGCTGGGCCTGTCCAAACACTCCGCCTCTCCTCTGTAACGGGGCACATGTGAACTTGTCTCTGTCTTCCAATTTCCAGCTACTGTAAACAGTTTTTTTTTTTTGTCCCTCCTCCCTCTCCCGTCCTGTAAGAGTCCCACAGCTTAATCATCACAATGATCGATATGAATAAAGAACATCGAAATCGGAACTAGCATCCTGCTGAAAGGTTTCGAATCCAAAACTAATTGACATGCAATGAGCAACCAATCATCATTAATCTTATGGTGGTAAAATACAAGAAAGAAGTTAGCTTGTATTTAGGGCACAAAATATATTAGTTAAAAAGTTGACTGAAGAACTTGAAGTAGCAATAGATCATTGCTGACTGTGCTGTCATTAAATAAATAAATTTGTTCATATGATAAATAAATAAATTTATTAATAAAGTCAAGTTACAGTTTACTCTCAACAATTTTATTTTTTATTTTTATGACGTTTCGGGATCACATTTACTATCCCATCTTCAGACCGTATCTCATTTTTCTAATCATCATCTAATTTCTTTAAAAAGAATTGTTATAATTTATATGTCTTTACATTTTTTTATATAAATCATCCCTTACTTATATTGTGGACTCCTCTAGGGATAGTCTAGTCAGACATTCAGTTCAGCGTCTGACTAGACTCTCACTAGAGGAGTCCACAATATAAGTAAGGGATGATTTATATAAAAAATATAAAGAAATATAAATTATGACAATTCTTTTTAAAGAAATTAGATGATAGAAAAATGAGATACGGTCTGAAGATGGGATAGTAAATGTGATCGCGAAACGCCGTAAAAATAAAGAAAAAAATTATTGGTAAACTGTTACTTAACTTTATTCATATACCTTAGATAAATAAAGTTTTAAATTTTGGTGATTAGTAACTTTAGTACTTTTTTTTTGTTTCGTGCTACAGACCATGCAAATCTTGTGGAGCTCAGTTTGGTCTTTTAACAGACTTATATTGCTTGCATAAGCACAAATATCGTGGGGGGAATCTCAACCTCCCCTTGCTACCATGGTCTAGATGGTGCGGTGGGAGGCAACTCATAGCTACATAGATTCCATTGAGCACAATCTAGCAATATCCTCCCCACCGCTTCTCTCAGATTCAAGGACATTGACAAATAGGTCTAGATCTATGTATCATGCCTAGCTGCTTAGAGTTAGCATGCGCACGAGGACCTATATTTCTTCCGTTTATGGATCACAGTTTAAGTCGCCTATAGTAGGATGACGAGTCTCACATACCCGGAGGTATCTGACTTACGTTTTAGTATACAATCCTTCAAATGTTAAAATAGACGAATTATTCTTATTTTTGTCTTTTATAGATTATTTCTCCTATAACATTTTTAAGCTTGACTAAGTGAAGAGTGGGCATCCATAATAGGTTACTTTAAAACCAAAAAAATTAAAATAGGCAAGCAGAACCTTGTCCAAAATTCTCTAATCCAATCTTCAACTGAACTCTTTTTCATTAATAATTCCTTTTTAACTGATATTATAATGAGCATCGTGTGTTCAATTTTGCCTATTAAAGTTTATTTTACGGTCTAGCATTTTATTTCTCTGACCTGCTCGCGATGGTCTAATTTGTTGGCCTCTAAGAATCCCAGACCTCACAATACTGTTATTGTTATTGTTTATGGGACTGGTTCAAAGATAAAGTATACAAAGTAAAGGTAGATACTCGAGATGCATCAATGGAATGTATTAAAAATGCTGCAGGCGTCGTAAAAGGAAAATTTGAACCAATCAGGAGAGCTGCTGTCGTTGAGCTAGAAATAGTTAGAAGTCAATAGTGGTTGTTTAGAGCATCAATTAATTAAAATAACACCGAATTATTAAAATTAGAATTAAAAGATGATAACCGAATTGCTGATATATGTATGAAATATTGTTCATTTTTAATTAGATAATATAATTTAAACAAATGAAAATCGAATCAGAATTTAAGACATTTTTTTTTTAAATATTTTCCGATGAGCAAACAACTCCTGGTGTTTGGCCCGTTCCTCTCAACTCACCTTGTATACATATCTATACATGATATATTCTTTCTTCATGATTCACAAAAGCTCAAATATAGAACCAACACTTCGTTCACCGCCCAATTAATCCTAAAACAGCTTCTGATTTCGCCAGCTTTGTTTTCGAGTATAACAAAATCAGAGGCGATCTATCTGGCAGTTGGGAGAGTCCGTTGGGCACAAGTACAAATCCGAAAAGCGAACAAAGCTTATGTAAATTTAAAACGGTTTTGTCCGAGGCAGATCCAATCAGGGGCGGCCAATTTATTATCTTTATCTAGATGCCAGGATCGCTTAATACAGACCGGCTCCGGCGGCGAAATTCTTTTGGCAGGAATTTCGCGGTCGAAAATACGTCGCCTCCCCCCCCCCCTCCCGGTCAAAGAATTAATTATCAACTTGTTATCAGCGATAGAACTTTCCCCCGGGTGCGATGGCCCGTGCACAGATGATGCTCGACTTAACTTCGTAGATAAGTACTTGCAGGCCAAGTGTCCTCGGCCACTTTCGCTTTAATAACCATCATTGATATCTACCACCGTCTAAAATAGAAACCAAAAAACAAAAAAAAAGGAGTAAGCAGCAAAACTCCATCACTAAGGTTCGATTTTCCACTTAGTATTATTTTTTTTTTAAATAGTAAGGGATTATATTGTTTCATTGGCGTACAACAGAGAAATAAAAGCTTTGGAAATAGTTATAAGTTCATATGTATAGCGAACTACTTTAACTACCATATTGGGAAATATTTATATACAAATATTCCGTGGTACATACCCCTTTTTATCAAATTATTAACATTCTCCTGAAACTCCATAAATAGCTTCTTCTCATCTCGACCTACAAATATTTTATTTATAAAAATTCTCGGAATTTGGGGCGTTTTCAATCTGGAGGTGGACAAAATTTTTCTGTTTAATTAGGTACTTAAAACTCGTAAATACTCATTTGCTTTCCACTTGAATCGTAAGAAAATTTGAGCATAAAGTCGAAAAAAATTGGTATTCAAAAATATTGAGCCGTTTGGCGTGATCTGAATTCCCAAATTGTCAAAATAACGAGGTTACATAGGACAACCGGCCCAATATTTTGTAGGCTACTTTTTTTATCGATTTCGCGACAAATTATCTTACGATCCAAGCAAGGGGCTCCAAAACGGATAGAAACCGCAACCCGCCTTCCACTGACGATTTTCGATACCGTGAAAATAGTTATTATTTCCGAAGGAAAATAGATAAAAAGATCTAATTTTTTAAACAATATATTTATGTTTAATGTATGAAATGAAAGCCTCATTTCCTTAGTGTATCCGAATAAAGTTTTTATGAAAATTGAGATAAGTATTTTTTTTTAAAACGAAATTAAATATTAAAGTATGTGTTGGGAAAATAAGTTTTTTCCCGTAATCGATTTTTTTTGTTTTCAAGAAATGTAATGAAACTTACATTTCTTAACTATTTAAAAAAATTACTAAGTTTCTTTAACCGTTTTATTCAATTCTTGTCTTAAGTTTTAATTTTGAGTGTTTACAGAGAAGTGAACACATATACCAACTTACTTAGTAAAACTTACTTAGACTTATGCATCACAGATACTTGGAACAGCTAAAAATACTCATATTAACAAACTTCAAATCATTCAAGCTAAAACATTCAGGACAATCACAAAAGCACCTTGGTACGTTAGCAACATAACCTTACACACTGACCTTCACCTACCGATTGTAAACTAATACATACGAACAAATGATTCCATGATAAATTACAAGCACACTCTAACATTCTGATAAACGATGTTTATGATATATAAGCTACAACACACATCCCAAGCAACGTCTATAGAAGATTGAACAAGGACTGGATTAGGGATCTTCTCGCCTAACAATGAATGTAATATGCCGCTGGCGTCTGTACACCGTCATACCTCTCACACGCCATTTCATTTGCAGGAATGAATATCAAATTTACTGATTGTTGATCATTTCTCTGACAGGTGTGAATAAAGATAAGTTAAAAAAAAAATTTTTACTAAAATAAAAATCAATAATAAATTCATTTTACTGTACATTTTTTATAACTTCTTTCCTCTCGAATCATAAACGATTTTTCTCTACGAAACTAGCCCTTTCAATTTTTGCTTTTTCTCAAAAGCGTCCCTTGAAGTTTAATTCTTTCCAAGAGGGACACTATTTAAGTTTCATTTTTTTTTTTAAATTATTATTGAAATAATCAGTGATTTTCGGAAATATTCTCTACAAATTAAGAAATTCTTAATTTTTTTTTGTAAATATTGTATCCGATATTACAATTAGTTTTTTCTCATTATCTGAAGAATTGTTAATAATGATTAGGGTTCAATAATGATTAGGTATTTAGGGTGAAATAAACGACTCATTTAGTAATTCGGTGTAGCGGCAAGTTCCTAAATCCAGCAGTAAACCATTGATGGAATTCAGCGCGTCTATCAGCAATTGAACCTTTGAGGGCTCAGCGGTTTCATCGGTTATTGTGGTCGAAGGATCCGCTTGCTGTAACTTCATTATAACATCCATGTTGTTGTAATGAGAGTAGGTGTTTTTTTTTGTGTTTTTTTTTTGTGAATATGTTCTTCCCTTCCTCGCCTTTTAGACTATATGGAATCCATCAAGTCCTGCCCAAACTCATCAAAAGTTCCAGTCCATAACTTCAGTATACAAACAATTAATGAAATCCATCAGTGGAACCACCGCTGAAATTAGGAACTTGCTGTTTCAATAAAAAATATGATATTCTGAGTGAAGAAGGAGTCAGAATGTGATAAAAAAAATCTAACATCTTTCAAAACTCAGTATTTTACCATACTTTAATATTCCCCTGTGTCTGTGTCATATTATTTACTTTTTTTTTTAATGAACTATTTCATGCTGTTTTTAATTCAAAACTAAAGGAGATAAAAATAGTAGAGACCCCAGTAACCTGACAATTTTCTGAGGAAAAGTTTAAAAAGAAATTTTAAAAAAGGGTAGTTTATTACAATAGTAAAATATAAAATAAAAAATAGTAATACGAAACTACATTAAGGCCAGATATGCAAGTGGGTCAAGAGACGTGGTCTTTATAAATTGTATTCTTTAACATCTCCCTCCTCTTATGCGGTTCTTGTTCTCAAAGAGAGCGGCGGATGAATATCCTTTCTTTGAGGTTCTATAAGGGCAAGGTGGGGCAAGTTGTCCCCCCTCCTCTCTTCCCACACTCCAATATATAATACATTTAAAATAAGGAGCAATAATTATAAACCAATTTTTGAAATATTGATTGACACTGTCAGGTCAATATTTTATTATTATGTCAGAATTCTGAAAGAAACTCAGTAATTACAAAATAAAGACTAATTACCCTACCCTTAAATTGTTTGAGCATTTTTAAATAATCCCTCCCTTATGGCTAAGCCTTTGATATCTATATCAAGCGACCTATATAAATCTACTAAAGTCAATAAACTACCAACTGACTGACATAAAGCCCTATAATCTAAAACTTAAGTTTGAATTATGAACGTATAAGATTTTACACGTTTTGCTTAATACCTTACTATTCATAAAATGTTCTATTCATTTTTGGTATTTTAGTCAACTACGCGTTAAGAGAATCGTATAAATAAATTATAATTTATTTTTATTTTTTAAATTGCTTTACAGTTGATTTAAAAGGACACATCTAGCAAAAAATGAACACATAATTTATCAATCGAACATATATTATAATATATTGATTTTTAAAAATATTAATTATATATAAGGCGCCCTCAAATAAGAAGTGATGACTCCAAATTCCACAATTTTGCAAAAAAAAAAATAAATGAAGAAGTTGAAAAATATCCATCAAAACTTTGTCTTATCTGGGGAAATTAACTTTTTATTCAATATTTATTTTAGCCAAATTATGATTTTTTTTCAGAAATAGACATTAAAAAAATAATTGATGTGAAATTATCTTTGTTTGCTAGAAGACTCCTTACATATTTCGAAAATAATGGCGATTCGTTCTAACCTTGTAATTTCCCATTCTACAAAGAATCATTTCTACTTTGGAACAAGTACATAGACTTCATAATTAATTGTCTGCAAAACTCTTATCCTCTCCCAAAAAAGGACAATAAGTAATAAATGAATAATGCCATGTATAAGTTCAATAATGTTTATAATACTGATTTATTAAGTAAATTATAAAAAGTTAAAATTGCTAACTGTTCCATGTTTTCTCTTTGTTTTTTTTTTGTTTTTTTGTTTTTTTTTGTTTCCTCCAAATTAAAACTTTACAAAAATATGGGTTTCCTTAAAAAAATTCTAACCTCTTAAAAATTTTTGAGTTTTGCATCATATACGATCAGCCATACGACCATTTTCTGGGAATCTCTGCTTATAGAGAAGTATGAATAAATATTTTAAGAAGAACAATATATATGCAATATAATATAAATTTATATTCTTAGAAAATTAGTACATACACCTTCATGGTATGTTTAATTTATTAATTTGAATGCCTCTGTAAAAATCGAACTAAACATGTAGTTTTGAAAATGCAATTTTTTATTGTCTTCTGATGAGTTCCAGATGTAATTAGTAGCTTATTGCCATCTCTGTACGAGCCCACCCACATTGATGTTGACAAAAGAAGCAATATCTCCCTGTATCGAAATATCATGGATGGACGGTATACGGCACATGGCACCATCCTCGGTCCCTTTATATATCCTACCAATATCTACTATCAGATAATGGTGGATCTAATTATGGTAATGGCGAATCGCCTTTAATGGACAATCCGTGGCGTGACGGGCAGAGGTTTTGCATCGGCTACATGCCAATGTGCCGTTAGCGCTCTTCAAAAAGTCATTAAAATATTTCTAAACCATTATTAACAATTTTTAATAAACAAAATTCACTATTTTTTTCTATATTTTATATTTAGTGTTTTATATATTAGTAATTTATATATTCTTCCTTCCTCCTTTAATCATCAACCATCAGCCCATCACATTCAACCTCTCCATTGAAATCCTAAGAATCATTATTGAAGAAAGCGTCTCCTGGAAACCCCATTTCTCCCTTATCTCCAGAAGATCAATAGGTACTATTAAGTTATTTAATCGCTCTCCTCATCTACTCCCTCATCTTATCAGCAAGCTACTTGTATCCTCTCTTATGGTCTCCCATTTTGACTACACCTGTGTGGTGTACGGTGGCATCCCGATGGTAATCGAAGACCGATTGAAGCTGCTTATGAACTCCTCCTTAAGATTTGTCTTCGGTACTTCGAGGCGGTCTCATGTGTCCCAACTTTACGATGAGTTGAAGTGGCTCTTCCCTTCTTTCTGCCGACAATATTTCCTTGGATCTTTCCCATTCCAAATAATCAACACCCGACACCCTTTCTACATCTACAGTCTATCAGAGTTCAAAACCGTAGTCCACTCCTAGAAAACAATATCC